ACTCCTGCGTAGGCACATTTATCGTGCTCGTTCATTTGTCATCGAGGCTAGCATTATTCTTGTCCTTCCGAGGCTTAATTAATGACTATCATCAAGAGGCCGCCCAATCTACCTTTTTCAAATCAGTTATTGAGTGTTCTAACGTATTTATGTCTTCGACTCACAAACATTCACCTGAAAATCTCATTTAGGCTTTCTAGTTACAATGGATTTCCGTTGCCATTCTATAAGATTCGTTCACACGAGAATGCTGAAAATAAACGATTCGTGATATATTTTGGTATTTTAAAATATCGTTGATGCGTCATTTCTTGCATAATTTATTACTAGAAAATGGTTTCTTTAGGGAATATTTTCAAAAAGTTCTAGGATCTAGGATTGGTTTATCAGAACAGCGATTGACTAGGAGAAAATGACGTTTTGTTTACTGGTTGTAAGGTAATTTCTGTTGAAGTTGAATTCACAAGGCTGTTCTGGCTGTTCTGGACTGGATGGACAATATTATGCATGAAATGGTATGCCGTATTTTCCTCCATATTTTCAAGACAAACAAAATATAAACACCTGTTTACTACAGCATCTTGAGCTCAGCTAAACTAGAAGATATTATGGTATAGGATAATTCCTTATCTTAATACATCCTACCTAAGCAAAGAGTAATACGTGGATGAAAGAAATTGAGTATTTATGCGTAAGTTAGCAACGTGATTTCACGGAAAAGAAGACGGTGTATCACTTTTATTAATAGAAAGTTTAGGGTTTTTGTTGTGTAAAAGCTGATTTCTGTTTTACGGATAGATTGTAGTTTATCAGCTTGTTACCTAAGTTTTTCACAAGTTATGCGATCAAAGAGATTGCTAAAATTTAATCTGGCTTTAAACAAGGCCTGTACAAAGAATTTGAAAGTGGGGGGGGGGGAGGGGCAAGGCTTCTTTCCCCTCATACTACAGCTTTAAAACTACTTGCTTCATAAAAGCCTGGAGGACCCTGGCTGCCCCGGCCCCCCGGTGGCTTGGGCCCTGCTAAATATCGATTTGCTGAAATCTTGAAACGTCATATTTTACCGACATAAATGCCAAGGTGCATTCAAAGTAAACCCACTACCGAAGGCAATCGTTATTGTAGGCCAGTCGCATCACAATATCGATAACAAGAAAATTTTTCGCTATTACGCCAGAAAAAATCACGTGTACGACGCAACGCCGACGTTTGAGCACAACTTTCAGTTTGCTGAAGCGAATTTATGTTTGGTTGATAACTTGTTGTTTAATTGATTCTGCATTCTGGAACCCTGATTATTTGATCAGGTGTTACTTCAAATTTTTGAGAATGTTATTATAATGAACAGCTGCCATAATTCACGAAAATTAACTCTGCCAGTCAATATTTTACGTTTAAATTCTTTATTTCATATGCCACTATCCAAAGTTTAGTAATCGGAATTAGTCTATAATGGGAGATGAAATGGCTATGTTTTTATTTAGTATAATTTTTCATAAATATGATTTTTCTTATGATTGATCGTTGGCTAATTGCAGTATAGTTTGGAAAAAAT